CGACGAATTTACAAATGACGCCAATCCTCGGGACGCCAATCCTCAGAGTTTACCCGGTGTTAGCGAGGTTTTACCAACGAATACAACTGCTGATCGCGAAAGTGTCTCGACTAAGAAGCTTCTAAACAGTTCTTTTGAGAAATTCGAAAGCAGCCGAGGAATTTTGACTCGTGAACAAGCAAGAAAAGTTGGTTTAGGATCGGCACGTGATGTTGAAATTGCAACCGGATTTAAAATACAAGATGCCACTCTCTTGAGCGATTGCATTTCGGCCGCAGCAGTATGTAGTTCCTGTCGTAAAGCAACATCAAAACTTAAACTTTATCAACGAAACAGCGATAGAGAAGGTTTGTCAGAATCATTATTCCTGCAATGTTCGTTTTGTGAGGTGGTGACTCCATTACCAACAAGCAATCGACTAGGTGGCAAAGGTGGTGGGTCTCATGAAGTCAACCGTCGAGCAGCTTTGGCTTCCCATCAATTTGGCCATGCTGGATTGACACAGTTCTGTGCTGGTATGAACTTACCTCCCCCAGTTGGTAAAGATTCATACAATAAGCATCTAATTAAATTGAGAAGGCTGCCAAAACCAGTGCCGAAGAAGTAATGAAAGATGCTGCCAAAAGATTATTCGAAAAGGTTATGTCAGAATGTCCGGATGATATTGAGGAGGACGGCGAAGATTTGATTGCTCATGTTTCTGTAACAGTTGACGGTACCTGGCAGAAAAGAGGTCACTCATCAAAAATCGGAGTGATCTTTGTTATCTCAGTTGCAACTGGGGAAATCCTAGATTATGAAGTAAAATCACTCTTCTGCCATGAATGTAAAGCTCATAACAACCAAGATCATGAAGGCGACGAGTTCCAAGAGTGGAAGAAGGCTCATGAACCAAAATGTGAAGTGAACCATGTAGGATCGTCTGAAGAGATGAAAGCTGTGTCTGCTGTTGACATATTTAGCCGAAGTATTGCAACAAGAAAATTAAAGTATACAACCTTTGTTGGTGACGGAGACAGCAGTAGTTTTGGCCGGGTAAAGGAGGCACTGGATAAAAAGTTTGGTGCTGCTTATGAAATTAAGAAAGAGGAATGTGTGGGGCATGTTCAGAAGTGGCTTGGAAGTGGTTTGAGAAGGTATAAGAATGACATGAAGGGAAAGAAACTTTTGGACGGTAAATCGGTTGGAGGAAAAGGACGGTTGACAGACAAGGTGATTGATAAAATGCAAAATTATTACGGCAAGGCAATTCGGGGAAACAAAGGAAATCTGGAAGGGATGAGGAGCAGCATTAAAGCCATTCAGCACCACATGATAAAGAATGATGAACTAACACTAGAACAACAACACCAATACTGTCCCAAATCATCTGATACATGGTGCAAATACTGGAAGGACAAAGCCGACGGAACTAAGTTGTACAATGAAGATAACCGGTTACCTGAGGTTTTTATGAAACAATTGGACCCACTTTTCACAAGGCTATCTAATGATGACCTCTTGAGGAGGTGTTTGAAAGGGATGACCCAGAACCAGAACGAGGCAGCTAATGGTGTGTTATGGTCCAAGTGTCCGAAAACCAAGTTCTGTGGTGCAAGGCGCGTACGTATTGCAGTATGTGAGACAGTTGCTGTGTTCAACACTGGTGCTGCAAGCAAAGCTGTGATAATGAACTTGTGTGGTGTCACCCCTGGAGTCCATACAATGAGAGCTCTTAGAAAGCAGGATGACACCAGACTGAAGACTGCAGCTAAAAAGGTAAGTATGAAGTACCGAGAGAAAAGACAGAAACTCAGGGCGCAGCGAAAGTCAAAAGGTGACAAGATGGCATACCAACCTGGTGGCTTTGGACTAAGTGCCAAGCCTGTTGACACTGGAAAGAAAAGAAAAAGAACACCAAAACAGACAAAAACCAATGACGTAAATGAACAACCACAAATAACCTTTGTTATGCCGACTATTGAAGTAATTGGTAAAAAACGACGGACATGACATTCGGTTTTGGTGTCTAGAATCTTTATTTGAGACATTTTTACTGAAGAAAAGACAATTGTATTGAACATATGTATCTTATTGCAACTCATTGAATATACAGGTAACATTTGTCTGTAATATGTGTGCTGTATGATGCACAAAGTTGGGGCAAAACATTAGTTCCTTTTTAACCTTGATTATCTCAAAACGAGCGAGTTTTGTATTATCAAATTTGTGGAAAGCCTAAATGAAAGGGAATTTAGTGTATTGCCCTGATTTTTGGACTGCATATGTATCTCATGACACTTTACAGGATCAGCAGACAGTTTTTCCAAATTTGCGGTTTTGGCCTTGTCACCATGGAAACAGTGCTTTTTTAGCGTTCGGACAAAACTATTTGTCAAAATAAAATTCTGTCAGCTTGTCCTGTACCCTAGGTCATAAGAAACAATCTCACCAAATTTGCAGTTGATAGCTATTTTTGTTCTAGAGATATTCTTTCCGCAAATTCTTGCTGTGCCGCAGTATTCTGCTGTTACCATGGCAACTATTTAGTGTTATTCACTTCAAGTAAAGTTAAAATTTGTATACTAATTAGATCTTGCTTTTTGCCAATTTTTGTGGTGAATGAATAAATCCTGTTGAAAGTAGAGCAAAAAGAGTGTTTTGGGAAATTTAGGAATGACTACCACCAGACTTAAATACCTTGAAACCAGGAATGCGGATTAGCAAAGGTTGTAATAACCACATAATTTGTAAATAGCATACTTGTCTTCTTTCTTTCCTCTTAATTTTTCTTAATATTGTATTAGTCTATTATAAATCATTCCACAAATAGTAATCTGTAATAGTCCTAGTTTATCATAGTTTCTTCTATATATTTTTTGTAATGCTTTAGCAATACTGTAAATTTATGGTCATGCTAATAAAGCTATTAATTACCTTACCCCACAACGACCCACAACGACCCCACAACAACCCACAACGACAAACAACGATCCACAGCAACCCCACAACATCCCACAACGACCCCACAACGTCGACCCACAACGATCAACAACGACCCCACAACGACCCACTACGACCCCACAACGACCCACAACGACCCACAACGATCCACAACGACCAACAACGAACCACTACGACACACAACGACCCACTACGAACCACAACGGCCCCACAACAACCCACAACGACCCACAACGATCCATAACGACCCCACAACGACCCACAACGACACCTCAACGATTCACAACGACCCCACAACGACTCATATGACCCCACAACGACCCACAACGATCCACAACGACCCACAACGACCCACAACGTCCCAATACGAACCACAACGACCCCACAACAACCCACAAGGACCCCACAACGACCCCACAACGCGTCACGACGATCCACAAGTTCACAACAATCCACGTACAACAACAACATTCTGTGCCCCAATCATTGGCCACCATCAGTACTTCCCCAGCTATATTCCCGTTATTGAGAAAATCAGGGCGTAGGAAAACGTAGGGAAATCCATAGGGTAAATCTCTGCATACGCAAGTGGAATACTGACTATAATTATAACTATTCAGACTATAATATATATCAACTCCAAACAGAATACATAGCTCATTTATTCAATTAATAGCTCATTCTTTTAATTTATAGCTCATTTATTCTCCGCGTTTTAAATCCTACTGGTTCCGGTGAAGATCGGGATTAGGATCGAAAGCTTTGCAATAATTAATAAAATACAAATAAATCAGAACGAGATCTGTCCTGTTTTTCATAAAAGTGAGCTTCTGTTTGTGTATAAAATTTATAAAATGCAATATATTTATAGTCAAAAGATGGCAACCTTTGAAACTTGATGAAACTTTCATAGTTTAGAATGTGATATAAGTTTTTTATATTATTCAGTAGGCATATTGAGAAGATGAAGAATTGGTCGAGGCTTTCTTTGCAGCACCAGTGATGGCTCAAGCTTCAAATAATTAAGGTGCGAAAACTAATATTTTTAATTCACTGTAGAGTACAAAGCCATGGTATCCTATGGGGGATATGTATTCCCTTAAAAATTTTTCCGTTTCCCCCACAAATATTTCACCATGTTTCCTTGTTTTCCCAACTTTATGGTTTTCTATCATTTCTTTACTTTCAATTCTGATTGCAAAATATGCATTGTTCCGTGGTGTCCTAAAACCAGCCCTGGGAGCGTAGTTACTAAAACATGGAACGACCCACAACGATCCACAACGACCCACTACGACTCCACAACGACCCCACAACGACCCACAATGAACCACTACGACTCCACAACGACCCACAACGATCCACAACGACCCCACAACAACCCACTACGACCAAACAACGACCCACAACGATCCACAACGACCCACAGCGATCCACAATCACCCCCCAACGACCCCACAACGACCCCACAACGACCCACTACAACCCCGCAATTACCCACAACGACCCACAACGACCCAACAAGGACCCCACAACGACCCACTACGACCCACTACGACCCCACTACGACCCACAATGATCCACAACGACCTACAACAACCCACAATAATCCATAACGACCCTACGACGACCCACAACGACCCACTACGACCCCACAACGATCCATAACGATGCACAACGACCCATTGCGACCAGACAAGGACCCACAACGATCCACAACGACCCATCTCGACCCACAACGAGCCCACGACGACCCCACAACGACCCCACAACGACCCACAACAATCCCAAAATTACCTTCAGTTGCAATTTTGCATGACAATAAACAATATAGGTTATTGTTAGTGGATACACCACGTATAAATATTTTTCTGATCATCTTGCAATTTGAAAAAGTGCACTCGCGTGTTTTAAAGACTTCAAATTGCATTCATCGTTTTCACTAGTGCGATTTTGAAGGCATTCGTACTCCACACGAAGTCAAATTATTATCCATACAAATTTAGTACCGTGTGTAATTACTAATGCTTCTGATATATAGTCTTTTTCGGTGCCCTTTATCTTTCATGAGATTGGATCCTACTAATTTCATTGTATATGCTGTAATTAAGTTTTGGATGAATAAATTCTTGGTGATAGTTTACAAAGTGTTTATATGTACATGCATATGTTTTAATGGATAGTGGAAACCAGCAGGATTATTTATTGCGATTTGCGATAAAAAATACACGTACTGTATATACTCAACTTTGACAATGCAGCTATTTCATTCATGATAACGTAAGCAGTGAATGAGTACACTTGTAACTTTAAACCATGCACTCAAGCACGAAGGAGGTTTGTGTAAGAGTACATAAAAAAGACTACTAAACAAAAATAAAAAAGTATAGCTAATTGAACCAATTGAATAGATTGTTGTATAAATCGTAAGAAAAACATTAAATTCGCCCTATGAATTAAATTATACTTGTATTTGTCCTCATGGTCAGATGTAAATAATGTCTTGGCAGGGGTTTCGTTTCTGTCGACGGACTTATCGTCAACATTTTATTCTGATATAATTTGGGATAGTCGTAAACGGGGTAATTCGTCTGCGTTTAATTTGTTGGTTGGAATGAAAATCTCTAAAATTCAAACTCATAACGAACTTCCCGAACGGCCTTCTCTTACATCGAAACTCTCCTGTCATTTTTAAGGTATTTGCGACCTTGTGAACTGCAGTTTTGAATTTAAAAAAAAAAAATTAAATAAAGTTATACTGATGTACGACTGTCTTGAGACGTTTTCTGATCAATACTTTGCTATGTAAGATGGTTAATTTCGAGCGTTAAAAGCTCCCATAAGCCGGAGTTCACATAATATTATTTTATGTAAGAAGAGTGCTTCGCGTTTAGTTCCCTAAACCTTTTCGTCTGGTACTTCGATTTCCGTTTATATAGCAAAACCACGCACTATAGCTTCACTTAATAATCATGATCATTATAGAACAGATACCTTAAGAGCTATACTTTCATAATATATAAGTACTTTATAAGAATGGCACCTCTTGGTATAAATATGGAGATTTATGTTCTATTTTTCTCCGATAGAACTAACTTGAATGGATCTAAATCTAAAATGCATATAATGTTTAAATTTGATCCACACACACTTCAAGTATGGTACTTCTAAACATGCACTGAGAAAACTTAGAACTAACTGTCAATACAACGTAAAACTGCAAGTTTAGAGGCTAATTGTATCGTTTCTTTAATATGATTGACAAACTCATTAATAATTCAGGAGGAAAACACAAAGAAAAATCATAAGAGTGTCGTGGTTTTATATGTGATAAAAAATCATGTTAATTTACATAAACTTTAGCTTTGATTTTCTCGGTTTAGACAAAGTTTATTTTAAAAATTACTTCGCCAATAAACTCGTATAAGATGAGTCGTTTTTGAAGCCATTTAAAGCACTTGTAGTCGTGTTTTATCACATATAAAACACTCCCGCTAAGCGTCGTGTTTTATATGTGATATAACACTCCTATGCGTGCTTTAAATAGTACGTAAAGCTTTGAGCAATATGACTTTATCGCTCTCTTCCAGTCTTCCTGGGAGCTTCCTTTCTTCCTTTCTCACGTTTAATCCGAATCATGCAGGGATTGATCTAAGTCATGCTACCTGACAGAGCCAGAATTGATTCCAAAATCTTGTTATAATTACTTGCAAGGTTAAAAATAAACAGGAAATAGAGTGCATATAGTATTGTACCAGTGAACGCTAATAAAGAAAGTTTCGTGCAGTCATATTTCGATTTAATTTACCTTAAGAATCATGGCCTACATAGATGGGGATCCATGCCCTTTTTGTTTCGCCCCTCTAGACTATAGGGGCTATGATGGAGGGACTAAAAGAGAAAATACTTAATTAACTCTTATTTTGATACCTGCTTATGTGCTTAGGCGTGAAGTGTATCATATGAATTTCAAAAACTCATTAATAATTCATGAAGCAATTATCCAATCTTGAGTAAGAAATTAGTCACGTGCATACGTCTTTATACCA